CTAAAACGACGAGAAGAGTACTGACTACAACAAGAGAAACGGTGCAAGGGATGATGGTACCGACGCGCCACGTGGAGGAATGAAACCAAACTCATCAATACGACGGTCTAAGCACACAACTTCTGTAAGAACAACTGTCCCTGCCCTCCCCGGTCCGCCACTCGCGTGTCCCCAGATCACCAAGAGGCTTACAATGCTCATCAATGTAAATGCATCCTGGGGCTCCACACTCCACCTCACGCGATTCTTCTGGACGCTTTCGGGGTTCAAAGCGTCATTTTGTCTGGGGCCTCTGGCTTTCCTGGGGCCGTCGTTTGAGCCTGGTAGGGGCCTTTGGGGCCTGCCCGATAAACCCAAATCGTCCAACATCGTGAAATTTACAGTTTAGGCCCTCTCTCAGTTCCAGTGTATTAATAACTGTCCAAGACACACTCCTGGGCTCCAGAGGTCGCCTCTATAGATGCACATCTGCCAACATATGCACAGATGTTCCTATGTACATTGATGTGTGTATATATACACATGAATATATATATATATATATACATATATATATATATACGCACGGCGGGCTCCCGAATCCCTGAACCCAAAAGAATTGCCATCTCTTGGGGGGCACATGCTGTTCTTTCGCCGGCTTCCGCCAGCGGAGGCGCTCTCCTTTTTGCTTCTGCGGGCTTCCGCCGCCAACCCCTTCGGTTCTCGAAAGTACGGCCCGCTGGAATGCCTCATATCCTGATTCGCTGCACGATACTCTATACTTCCGAAGGTCTTTCATACCTACAGAAATGTGCAACTAATAATTATGTCTGGGGCTAACTGAGGGCTGCCGACGCCCAAGATCAGTCGGCAAATAACTATTTTGCCATCGCCGTCGTTGTAGTTGTTGCGCTCGCCGCCGCAATCGCAGCTGTCCGACTACAACGACGAAGCAATAAACTCCTACGACCAATGCTGGGACTCCGGCGAGACGACTCGAGGGAAAGCGTTTGGAACAGTACTACAAACTTTGTACGAACAACAACGGGATCCCTCTCTGGCGCAGGGTAGCCCAATGGATACGAACAGCTTCGAGAAACAACCACGAGCCATCATCTTGCACGGCGAATAATAATGGGGAGCTAACTCCAAATGGCCCCGTTGGACTACCAACAGCACTACGTCTACCAACAAAGCTGCGTCTATCGGTACTACGTCGACCGAACGCGAGAGGAAGAGCAGGGGAGGAGGAGGAAGAGGAGCAGGAAAGAGGGGAGGAGGAAGAGGAGGAGGAAGACAAGGACAAAGCCAGTGCGAACCCGGGGACGCGCAGAGTTGACTGCCGGCCAAGGGATTTGGAGGGGGGGGGGCGCGGCAGGACGAAAGACCGCCTGCGACGAACTGCCACATGCCTGCGCTGCCCTCGCAGGTGCAGCACTCCGCCCTGCCCTGTCCTGCCCTGCTCTCGGGCCGGGCGAAAGGGGGGGATAGCAAAGGAGGGGGTTTGAGAATCAGCTCGCGTAGCTGATTTTCCCGGCGCCGCCCGGCGCCGGAGGCGGCTATGTATCGAGGAGTGGGCCCCTCGGTGGGGCCGAAACCAGCTGCATGCAGCAGATTCCCAAACCCCCCCTTTCCCAATCCCCCCCCTTCGTCCGGCCCGATGCTCTGGTACGCTATGCTCCACCTCGCTCTGATCCACGGGGCACCGCAGCAGTCGGCGCGCGCGCCCATTGCCAGCTTCGAACTCATCCCTGTCCCTAAGATTGGAAGGCCCAAGCGCGGCGACCACCCAAGGACTGCGCCCTCGGAAACCGAGGGCCCCCCTTGAGATCGGTGCTCGGAAACCGAGGGCCCCCCTTGAGATCGGTGTCGAGATAAGGCGATGCCAAAAAGCTTAGGGGATCGGGATCTGCCCCAGGCAGGTAAGCCAATGGGGGAGGTAGGCAGTGGGGGCGGGCCACCCCAGTCGGGGATCTCCTGACCCGGGTCAATCCAGACCCGGGTCAGCAGGGAACCAAAAAACTGCAATGCTGGAAAGAAAAACTGCAACGCAGGTCTTCGCAAACCCGGGTCAGCCAATATGCGCGGCCGCCTCGCGGCCACGAGCGGCTCGCTGACCCGGGTCAGCCAGAGGGGGTCTTCGCGGGATCCTGCAGGATCCGGTGCCCTGGCTGACCCCCGTTTGCATTGTCCCTCGTACCAAGGCTCCCGCCCAAGCAGACGCAGAACGCCTCCGGCCTCCAGGGAGGCGCTGTGGGCCGCCTCCGACGCCCTGCCGCCCTCCGAGGAAGCCGGCCCCCTCTCAGATGTCTTCCCCCTGCGGGCCGCCGGGGCGGAGAGAGATGAGCAACCGCGGCACGTCGTCGACACCCTCAGCCGCCCTGTCCCCTTCGCTCCCGAGGCCGCTGCGCGGGGCAAGGCTGCCTGCGAGCGGAACGCGCTGATGCTCATGCCCCACCTGGGGGCGAAGGGGGGGGGAGGTTTCAACTTTTTTCGCGGGAGGAGGATGGAGCGGGCACCAAGGTGAAGCCTACAGCGGTACACCACGTCTGTCCTGCGAGCGTGCCCGAAATGCGTGCCCCGATTCGGATACGGAGGGGATGGACAGGAAGATGAGAGGAGGAGGAGGAGGAGGAGAAGGATGAGCAGGAGGAGGAGGAGGAGGAGGAGGAGGAGGCGAAGGGAAAAGGGCGTTATGCGACGACGCTGTGTGGGGGTGGTAGAGGGGGGGGGCGGCAACCGGGCGTTCGCCATGGCTGTGCCCGCAGGTAAACATTGCATGAGCCGGAGAAAGAGGCTGTATAAAGCCGCGCAAAACGATGCGGCGCTTGAAGACTTGAGTTCGAGTTAGGGAGGGGCTATGTTCCCGAGAGTCTGCAGGAGGTTGGCGCTTTTACTGCGCTCCGAACGGCATCAAACAACAGAGAGAGAGAGAGGAGGGAACTCAGTGCATGAGATGTGGTATCGATTCTGCTGGCACGAACCCGAACTTCCCAACGAGCGAGCGATCGCAGGGGGTGCAGGATACATAGACAGCGCCTCGGAAAGGTCGGAAGGTGAACGCACCAAACGGTTGGCATTGAAGCTGTTCTGCCATCGAAGCCGGGCTACAAGCGCTGCCATCCCCCGCTCATGCTTGAGGGCTCTCTGGTCACTACAGAAATTTCGGGGGACCGTGGAAACACAAGAGGTGGAGCGAACACTGGCGAAAATCGCATCGAGCAGAGACGAAGGGACAGCTTTATCGCTCAGCTCTCTAATCCTTGGGTTCGGCCCTAAATCACAACGAACAAAAATGTCCGACCTCACAAAGTTAGGCCTGACATGATTCTCAGCAAGGGTCTGGGCGGAAAGAGAACCGTAAAATATTCGAGGGGGTCCAAAAGGCTCCATGGTCCGTGTACATCTCTTGGCTCCAGCGGGATGTGTGCGCGTGTGTGCGTGTGTCTGTGGGTGTGTGTGTGTGTTGTTGTTTTGATGTGTGTGTGTGTGTGTTTGTGTGTGTGTGTGCGCGCGCGTGCGTGCGTGCGTGCGTTCGCGGGCGGGCGGGCGGGCGGGCGTGTGTGTGTGACATGTGTGTGTGTGTGTGTGTGTGTGCGTGTGCGTGTGTGCGTGTGTGTGTGTGTGTGTGTGTGTGTGTGTGTGTGTGTGTGTGTGTGTGTGTGTGTGTGTGCGTGTGCGTGTGCGTGCGCGTGCGTGTGAGTGCGCGTGTGCCTCTGAGCGTTCGGGTGAATTTCGTCGCGTCGCGCTCGCGTTTGCTACTTCTCGACCTTCTATGCCCCCTCGCTGCGCGCGGGGCCGCGACGCCAAGAAGCGTGTGCGTGCTCGGAGGGAAGGGGCGCGACAGGGTCGAGGAAAGGACGCGGCGGGGGGAGGGGACCTGGAGGGCGTCGAAGGCAGAGACAACCTCTGCGCCTGCCCCCCCTCCCCTCCCCGCCTCTACACCCGAGCCACGGCCACGTTGCCAATCGAATCCGCCCCTCTTCGGCTACATGCCGCGACCTGCGGACAGTCCTGTCCTGGTGTATCGGTGCGCCAAGTGCATGCTCCTGTTGTTCACGGATCGGAATGAGCGGGTGCAGACATTTGAGCAGGGACCGACCGTCCTGGCATTCCTATAGTCCTACCACGAAATGTTCTCAGAACCCCAAATTGTTCTAAGAACAAAAACAATGTTCTTAGAACATACAAACCCGATGTGATAAAACACGAAAGACTCCGCCAGAAATGTTCTAAGAACATTTCGTGGAAACCTCAAGGGTTCTTAGAACATTGTTTGGTAGGGCTATAGGCACGCCAGGACGCTTCGCCACTGCTTGAGACACGCGCGCACATCAGTCCGCCCATGAAGGATACGACGCAGCCATCCGCTGAAGTCGTGCGCGCGCATTGCGTGCAGGAAGATTCGCACCGAGCTCCGGCTTCCCTCTCCGCAGTGGCAGTGGCGGACCTCGCTGGCTCGGAGAGGGGGAACAAGCGGATCCTCTTAGCTCCCCCTCCAATCCTGATATACACGCACACGCAGAGGGTGCCGAAACACCGGCACACGCCAACATATATCCTCCCCTCCTCCACTTCCTGCAGAAAGGAAGGGAGAACGTGGGATGATGGGGTCCAAGGTTCGCCATAGATGGACGCAAGATGCAACATAAGTCAAGGCGAGCTTGGGGAATTCCAGACTGACTACTGCTTGCACTGACGCCTTCCATCTGTTCCTCGTCGTGCAATGGGGCAGCCGGTGGCGACGATGGCTACTAGGTGGACATATGTTGGGTCAAAGGTGCAACGGCAGTCCTAAGACCCGGTTGTTTCGAATTAGCCTACTCACCCATTCGCCACTCCCCACCTCCCCCCGCCGAGCAGCCAGAAGGCAAGGAGGGTGAGGAGGAAGTGGGAGAAAGTGAGGGTGGAGCCAGGGCGCGTGGAAGCGCCTCCTTCGCGCCATGCAGGCAAGAGCGCATTTACGGTATCCCCTCCGACTCGAAGCGGGTTCTAGCCTATGGGCTGCATACTTCACGTGTCTAGTCCAACTCTATTGTCTGCTTGGCCTTCCTCGCTGCGAGTAGCTTCACGATCGAGACGCGAACGTCGGCAAACAAGGGCTGCGCCACACGCCCGCGATCGCGTGTCCAATCCGTGAGTTCCTCCAAGCGCTCGGCGATGTAGGGACCCGTTGTGCTTTGGGCTTCGTTCAGAGTGGGTGGCCCGTCCAGCTTCGGGCGCCCCTCGAACTCGTCCAAGCTCTCTGCGATGAGCTCTGGATTCCTGGACTTCTCCTGCCTGGAGAGGCCACCCAAGATTGCTGTGGCGATTGTCTCATTGGTCTGCTGCAGCGCCAGAGCAAGCTTGCTGAATGGTTCCGGACACACGCCTGCAGCTCCGCCAGACACGATAAGCGACTCAGCGAGTGGATCCGTCTGCCCCCCGACGTCCTCCTGCGGAGAGGATGCGGGAAGCCACGCGGAGCCCAACTCGCGGAAACGGCGACAGCAGGCGGCGACAGCTATTCTACCTTTGGGGGTGGCAGCGCGCATGGTGCTGATGACGTCGCCAGGCCTCTCTGCACCTCCAGCCCGCACCGCCTCGCAAGGAGAGGCATGAGGAACACCACCCACTCCATGTACATTGGCAGCAACAGGAAGAACCTGCCCCCTCAGCCGATGGAGAAACGCTCCACGATCGCCACTTCCAGGCCGGAGCGCGGCTCCCCAACCTGCTTGGAGGTCGTCAGCTCCCCAAACTCCGAATTCCTGAGCTGGGAGATCAGCCTGCGGCGCCAGGTAGAAATCGGCCTGGAACGCCTCGAGCGTGCTCGCCAGCGGCGCGCTTGGGCATTTGGGCGGCTATCCAGGGCCGGGCAGCGGGGAATGCTGCGCCAAGGTCGCTCCGCTGCAGTCCTCCCCTGCTTTCCGAAGTGGAGCTGCATCGGCGCCCACGAGGTCGGCAGCCTGGAGGGCCATCCCCTTGCAATGGCCGCCGATCGCGTCGGACAGCCTCCATGGCGCCACCCGTCCTTGCCGAACCGGTTGAAGACGACGGGCAAGCGCGGCGCCGCGGCTGAGCCCAAGCTCGCGCCTGAACTCGCCACGGCGGCGGCGGGCAAGCGTCCGAGCACTCGCAGCTGCCCAGCGGTGGCCCGCGTGCTTGCCATGGTCGGCGGCATCCTCCATCGCGGCCTCTTGCGCGCCTACGCCTGTGCTTGAGAAGGGACCGACCGCCACAGTTTTCTGACAGCCCTTCCACGAGATGTTCTTAGAACAAAAATGTTCAAATATTCTCAAATGCTCTTAGCACGTAACGCCGATGAAGTACAACATAACGGTCTCGCCCAGACAAGTTCTGCGGACATTTCGTGCAAACCATACACGGTTCTTAGAACATCCACTAGTGGGCCTGTAGGCAAGCCAGGACGCCTCGCCACTGCTTGATGTGCAGGAGCGCTAGCGAGGGCCTCCCGAAGCGCGGCTCGCTTGAGCCAGAATGGTTCCGGGCTGCTGCTGCTCCTCCTCATGCTCCTCCTCCTCCTCCTTCTCCTCATCTATCCTGATCCCTTTGTTGCTTCTCTTTCTGCTCCCCATCTGTCTCCTCGCATCGAATGGCGACCGTACGCCCAACATCCTCCTTCAGGGCTCTTCCAAAGACAGGTGGAACGGAATGAGGAAGCCGAGTCCTGGTCTGCCTCGAGACCATCCCCCATAATTTGTGATGGTATTATAATACTCCTCTATGCCCCCTTTTCCTCATGTTGCTCCGTCTCTCTCCCCCTCTCGCTCTCTCTTTCTCCCTCTCTGTTTCTTTTCGCAGAGCGCTATCTCCTCCTAATTACTCCCTCTCCCTCCTGCCTCCATCGGGCAGCCAGCGAAGGTGCGATTAGCAGTCGCCCTCACATCCATCTTACTATGTGCCCCCGATGCCTCCTCCTCCTCCTCCTCCTCCTCCTCCTCCTCCTCCTCCTCCTCCCCCTCCTCCTCCATTTCCTCCTCCTCGTCCCCATTGTTTCCCCTTTCCGCCTGAGCCTCCTCCTCCTTCCCCTCATCCTTCACCATTCCCCTCCCTCCTCTTTCTCCTCCTCATCCTCCTCGTCTTCCTCTCTTCCCCCCTTCCTCCCCCACATCCTCCTGCCCATCCTCGTCCTCCTCCTGCTCCTCCTCTCCCTCCTCCTGCCCCTCCTCCTCCTGCCCCTCCTCATTTTCCTTTCTCCTCCTCCTCCTCCTCCTCCTCCTCCTGGTCCCCCTCCTCCTCCTCCTCACCCTCCTCCGCTTCCTCCTCTGGCCTCACCTCCCCCGCGCCCCCCCGTCGGCCCTCTCTCCTCCTCGCCGGAGGCCCTGATGGGGAGCCCCAGAGCTCGCCTACCCAACGTCCTCCCAGGACCCCCAGCGTCATGGTTCTCCTTCATCACGCGCTGTCTCTCCACGGCTCTGGGACCCACGGAGAGCCCGGGGATTTTTGTTGTGTGACCCCCGGGGGTCTGGGGCCGGGGCGGCACTTGAGCAGGGCCCGCCCGTCCCGGCATTCCGATAGACCTGCCACGAAATGTGCTTACAACCCAAGAGCGTTTAAGAACAACGGCGTTTTAAGAACAACCCAAGGACCGACCGTCCTGGCACTCCGATAGACCTGCCACGAAATGTTCTTACAACCCAAGAGTGTTCTAAGGACAACAGCATGTTTTCATAATATCGGCCCACCTCTTTAACACAAGACAATCTCGGCCAGACCTATGATAAGAAGATTTCGTGCAGACCATGAAAGGGTTCTTCGAGCATTCTCTGATGGGCCTATAGGCGAGCCAGGACGCTTCGCCACTGCTTGAGGCACTCGCCACCTCATGGTCTTCAGCTCGGCCTCGTTCAGGACGCTGCCCCTCCACAGCACTCCTCTGGGCGCGCGGCGGGCGCCAATGCTCGCTTGGAGGACTTGGCTGCTCCTCGTCGACTGGCCGTGTGCTCCGCAACCTGAGCCCGCTCTGGCTTGCTCTGGCCGGCTTGGCCCTCCCACCGCTTCCTCATTCCCTCTCTGTGGTTCAAAGGTGGGGTCCTGAGATATGGGGTCCTCAGGACGAGGTGTCTCAGACAACTTAAATTCACCCTTGGATCCGTTCCCATTCTTAGGCCCCATCCCTAAGGACTCCATCTTTGAACCACCGACCCTCCCTGCTCCCCCTCAAGGCGGGGATCGGACTGGCGCATGTAGCGAGGGTTCCCTTCCGGCCTGCCTGGAGGAACGCATGCATGAATACATATCGAATGCGCCGATGGGGAGATCGGGGAAGACGAGGATGAGGAGGAGGAGGAGGAGGAGGACGAGGAGGAGCAGAAGGCAGAACGGAGACGGAGGGAGGACAAAGAGGGTGGGGGAAAGGAGGGTCAGAGGATGGATGGATGAATTGAGGAGGAGCAGGCGGAGAACAAGGCGGAGAACGAGGAGGCGGATGAGGAGCAGCACGAGGAGAAGGACGATGAGGAGGTGGTGCTGCTAGACATCCGATGTTTTGTTTCTTCAATACGGGGTCCCAGGGCATACCCCGACCCCTATTCCGAGAGCCGGGTGTTCATCCCAGGTCGCCGCTTCACGATCCCGGGGCTCGGCGAGGGCCCGCGGACGGCGAACAGGCCGAACGATTTCCCGTCGTGATTTCTGTCGCGACCCGAGGGGGTCCGGGGAGGAGGCGGCAGCTGAGCCCCGCGAGCGCCAGCCGAGGGGGGCCAGGCGGGCGATGGCTCCTGCCGCCTTCGCCTGCTTCTGGTTCCGGGTGGTCCGGCTCATCGTGGACGGGCTCCGCGCTGTCTGGTTGTACTGGTGGCGCAGGACGAGGTACTCCCAGACCTGCTGGGCGCTCTGCGCCGGCTCCGTCAGGTCCGAGGTGGATCGAATCGCGAAGTCGGATTGGGTCGGAGCCAGATCGCATGGAGTGGCAGCGAGTCGTCCCGAGTCGGATCGAAATCGGATGGCCGCGCCTGGCTCCGGCTGACACCAGCCGATGCCGACAGATCAAATGAAGTAAGATCAAATCGGTATCGCGGCCCAGGCTGGCGAATCGAATCCACGGACGGCTAACATCCTGCCCTCGCTCCACGGAAAAGGCATGTTCGCAGTTTCGTTCCCAGTGGGCTTCTGAAGACTCAGTGTGGGCACGAGTTATATCCATATCCACTGCGGCCTGGACTTTCTTGGACGGGGAGCCGAAAGGCCGAGGCGCAGTGGACATGGGCAAAAATCTACAGCCTCTAGGGGTCAGATTTTAGTGCAGCTCCACTGCACCATTGGGTTTCGAGGGAGGGAGCTGAAACTCCAAGACGCGCTTGACATGGATACAAATCATGCCCGCGCTCAGGATGGCTGCAAAGGAGGGGCCTCAGAAGGGCTGCAGGACTGCCCGAACAGCGCCTGAGAACGACCCCCGTCTCCTTTCGTTCCTCCCGTTTCGTGCCCCCCGAGAAGCATGGCAAGCCAGAGTCGGACAGGACTTGCAAGCTGCGGCCACTTTATAAACGCGCCTTCCATGGCATGGGCCCCAGCTAGCTGTTCGCTCAAATCGTATACTCCCAACAAATCACACTTCCGAAAACACTCGGCACATCTCTTAAGCTTTCTTCCAGCACTTGGCAAATGGGCGTGACAAGCGCATCTGGATACCGTGCCGATGATAGCTTCGATCTCCAATCCCGAAAGAACGACATATTCACGCGGCGGGTAATCTAATAGACATCAGTCTGGCTCGCTGAAAATGATTTATGAACACTGTCCAGGGCGGTGCCTACGCTTGGGACGTCGTTAGTGGTCGGTGGGCTGCCTGGCCCTCGTAACCTGCTCTTCGGCCATCGCGTTCCACGGCCGAAGAACACGCGCAGCGTTCATGAAACCATTCGCGCGCGGCGCGCGGGAGTGTCTGGCGAAGCGTTGACAAGCGGGGAACGCGAAGGTTTGATTCCCCTCTGGGGCCCCAAATCCTTGCACTGTTGGCGCATTCCCCGAAGCGCCGACCACGGCATCTTCCGTTGCATGTACAGATCTGCCAAGATTTCGGCCAACGCCCGTGTGGTCGACTCCGAACACCCTGGGCCACAGAAGAATCTCATTTTTTGGTGGGGCGACTTTTACTTCCGCCGGCATCCTCTGGGTTCCCGGCGGCCACTTGTCCGCCAGCTTCCGCCGGCCTGCAGCCGCCTGCCGTCGATGAAGAGGTACCGACTCCTGCCATCCGCCAGCGGGAAAGCTTTGTTTTTTTGGACCGCCCCACGTGCTGATTCCAATGCTTGCGGGGCAACAACAGATGCCTTCGAACGGCTGCCTTCGCTGCAGCAGTTCCCATCGGAACGCTGGGTGCGCATCGATGGCGCGCCCAGTGCTTCGAGATGCGGTAACCCGCACGCGTAAGTAGTTCACAGTGGCGGCCATGCGGCATATCGAATCGTAGTGTCGACGGATCACACACTGCGGCCCAAGGTGCTGAAACAGAGCCCTCGAAACTCGGCAATGGCCAAGACACGCGTTTTTGTCCATTCTCATTTCCATGAAACGATGAAGGATGGTG